GTCAGAGATATCAAGTTTGTGACGAAGATAGAAAACTCACCAGTTAACTTTCCTCATGATCTGGAAGAGAATCTTCGAGTCCCTGGGTGAAGTTACCACAAAGCTGTTCAGCGTGGTGCCGAATGCGTTCTCAAGAATCGAAGACCACTCTGGCTTGAGCAGGCGCACGTAATGACCAAGAGGCCCGACAGGACGATTAGTAAAGGAACGTTCTTGTTCAATGGCTCTCAAAAGGAATGGCATTCTCTCGTGAAACCCAGAATTCTGTGGACCCCCTTCCCTTTTCAGGGTTGACAAAAGCGATTCAGCCTCCTTAACATCGGCCCTGATTTTATCGACTGGCCCTTCGGCCTCCCGAACTTTTTCTTCAGCCTCGTTTATGTCATGGAATAGACGGTCACGGTCGCTACTATGTTCCTCATACTGAGCACGGGCTTGGGAGGCTTCTTCTTTTGCTCGCTCAAGTTCCTCCTGCTTTCGAGTAAAGCTACCGCCGCTAATCTCAGCTAAACGCCGGTTCTCTTCGTCAATGCTCCGTTGAGTAGTAGCTATTCTTTCTTCTGCTGCCTTGAGATATTCTCTGATCCGGCGTTGTTCGGCCTAGAGATAACATTAGAAAGCGCTTCATGTGAATGCAAGGTGTTTACGGATCATACCTGCAGTCCATGACGCTCAGTCATTTGCGCATCCCATCTCGCTTGGATTTCGTCTTTCTCACCTTGGACCTGGCCTCGCTTCGCATTAGCTTGGCGAACAGATCCCGCGGCGGCCTCAAGCTCAGCTGCAGCCGCGTTAATAGTACCATCAAAATTGGTCAAATCAGCTTCGTCAGCTGCGATCTGGTTGTCTGCCGCAAGAAGTTCTTCGTCTAAAGAGTCCCTTATCTGTTGGCTGTCAGAAACGTAATGGATGATTTGGGAAGGTATAAGGATACCCTTTCTTGTTCCTCCACCTGAGCCCAGGCCATTTGATTTCGGACATTCCTGATCCGGTTCCGCAGGGAGTCATGTTGGTTGGAAATATCAAGCTTTCGTTTCGCAGTTTCCTTCCTACTTTGCAATATCGCTATATCCTGTTCCCGGCCCCTCAGTTTCTCCTCGATTTGGTCACCGGATTCCTCAATTAATCGATAATCTTGATCGAGCTGCTCGAGTTGGACGCCCTTCACAAAAAACTTGTATTTCTCACTAGGACTTGATGAGCCAATGAATTGGCGGGCCATATCCTGGGAGAGAACATTCACTGGGTTGTCGAATTGCAGGGTGAAATAGTCAATGATGGCATCGAGCTCTGACTTCTTGGTGGACATGATACGGCCATTTTCTGATCTTATCTTGAACCCACTTGTGCCATTTCTGGAGAAGTGGCGTTCTATAGTGATAAACTTGCCATAATCATCTGGCATATAAGCGCCATCTCCTTGGTTTTTAATTCGCACAACAATGGTTGCATGCCTTCATTTCAACATTAGAACTATTCACAAGAGGGTTCGGGTATCGCTTACTCTTTGCCTTCCTTGATGAAGCTTTTTAGACTCTGGCCTCGATTGGTAGTAGATGCCTTACCACCTAAACAAAGAGTAATGGCCGTGAGGACTGCACTCTTGCCGCTACCATTTTTGCCCACGATAAAGTTGATTAGAGGGCCTAGATCAACATAAAAATGGTCATGGCACATGAAATTGTAACACTCAACACGCTCCAATATGCCATGCTCGGCAGGTATATTTGGTTCATCAGTAGCGAACGAATATTTTTCTTGGATGACCTGGGTAGCCCGTAACTCAAGTTCATCCTCATCGTCATCATCAAGAGCCTGTGTAAGGGATCGGACTCTTGATTCTTCATCACCATCATTTCTGTCCACAGCGCTCCCCTCTGAAAGAGGACTGTTAGTCCTACGGAGGCGTTTTGGCTAGTTCGTCCAGGTTAGCGGCCTTACTAAATACGTTAAGACTGCCACATACCGAAGTCGAGTAGCCGCTAGTATTTTCATCGCCCGAGTCCGAAGGCTCTAGGGACGTTTGAGAGCGTTTCATTGACGGCATCGAGGAAAGGCGGCTGAAATATCGGGATTACAACTGGCCATAGCATATGATTTGAATAGAAAGGGGAGACGAGAGAATGTTCAAGATTAAATGAAACGGTCGACAAAGAACCAGATTGCTCCTTTCATTCACTACTTGGTGGCTTGGCCGCTGCAGCCGAAAGAACTGTACCCATCTTTGTTTCGTGTTTGGAGGCTTATCGGATATTGATAAGTCGCGTCGTCGCGCGTCGTCATTACACGTGACATGAAAGGAATCCAATTAAGGCTCCTTCGGGAGAAGACTGAAAGGAACACCGCAAATATCCACACTTTGCGGTTGATGTTGTCTTACGGAGCTCGCTGCTTGCTAACTTCCAAGAAGGTATTTGATGCAGCCCTTTTGGGGCATAAATTACCATCTTGCCTACCTACGCTATATACCTTGCCATTGCTTTGATGCAAAAGAACAACTGGTGATCATTGCCTCTAGTGATTATGCGAATATCTTGGAATTTTGCGATGCTACAGGGTCCCTCATCCAAATGATATGACTTATACTGGGACGAAGCATCCCTTAGTACTATGCAGAGAGCTGCAAGCTTCAATGTATGTCATGAGGCCCCAGGTACCTTCGAGATCCCACTGGAAGAGGACAAGTCATCCACCGGATATTCTCACACTGTGAGTGAGAGGGGTGACGTAGACTTAAGTGACGGCGAAGGTCTCCGAAGTCTCATACGGTCAGATGTCCATAGGCTCCTCCGCAACGTAATGCAAATACGCTCCCAGCAACTTGATTCCTTCAATATAATTCCTCTTATCGAGCTTCTCGTTGATCGAATGAGCAGCATCAGTCGAGCTTCCCATAGGTAGGAGGAGGACATTCTTGCCTGTAGCTTGCTCGAAGCTTAGTGTGACAGGGATACTATATGGATATCAGTCTCAAAGTATCTGAAGCAGTGTAACAGATGGCGAGTATGAATCAGAAGACATACCTGCCACCCTCACGGGTCATATCCGGCTCAACACCGAAAACCTGTTTCACAGCTTTGCTTGCAGCTGAGAAGTTCCAATGCTTCGGACTGGCAACCCACCACTTTCCATCATGCTGGAGCCACACGTTCAATGTGTTCTTGCTATTCAATTTGGCGAACTCTGCCTTGACATAGTCGAAGACGAGTTTGTTCACGTCCTCACTTTCCATATTCGGCACAGTTCGGATTGAGAACTTGCCGATGACCTTAGCTGGGATTACTGTCTTCGCGCCAGGGGCAGAGTATGCGCCCTCAATGCCATGGAGAGAAAGAGACGGGTACCTCCATCTTGCCATGAGAGTTCTCTCTTTGGTGGAATGAATGCTTGTCTCGCTGCCCAGTGACTCGTGAAGATTATCCATAGTGTAGTTGATGCCAGGGTATAGGGATTTTTCTTCCTCCGTAAGGGGCTCAACAAGATCCATGATTCCAGGGATCAGGATATTTCCCTGCGAATCGACAAGTTTAGAAAGCACATGAACCAGATCAGTCATCGGCTCGTGGGCTGTGCCACCAAAGACCCCGCTATGCAAGTCCTGACCAGGGCCCGAAATGCTCACGGAGTAGTAGTTGCAGCCTCGGAGCCCGTAGGTCAAGCAAGGCTTTTCGGTCCCAAGCCAATAGTTGTCCGAGATGCAAACGGCATCTGCATCTTTGAAAAATTCCTTGCCCTCGGTTTGAATGAACTCTTCCAAACCTTCTGAGCCATACTCCTCCATCCCCTCAAAGCAACAGAGCAGATTGACCGGGAACTCAACACCAGCCCTTTTATGAGCTTCGATAACATTCAGCCAGCCGAGGACGGGACCTTTATCGTCCGTGCTTCCGCGCCCGTACATTCTTCCCTGATCATCGACGGTCAACTCGAAAGGCTCTGTCGCCCAGCCATCTTCTTTCAAAGCCGGCTGCACGTCATAGTGTCCATAGACCAGGATGGTTCGCTTGCTCTTGTCATTACCATAACGAGCAAGCACAACCGGGGGAAGATCTAGGTGCTCTTTTCCAGGTTGTTTACCTAACGGTCTTTGTTCCACTTCGGCACCCAAGTTCTCAAGCTCGGAAGCAAGAAACTGGGCCATCTGATGGGGGAAAAATGAGGGATTAGTTTAGTAGTGATGAGGGCTGAGTCGGGTTGCAGTACACACCTTGAAGACATCCTTTCTATTCTCATCCTGTGCGGAAATAGATGGGATAGCGACAGCCTTTCGTAGACCTTTTGAGTTATTTGAGGATGTATCCTCAACAGCAGGAGTTTGGGAGAGCGTGACGTACGGTCAATGAAAGAGCCCGACAAATCGTCGACCCTGTGCAGATGGTCACCCAAATCATGTCAGCCAGCGGACCATAGTAGAAGCATATGCCAAGGAAGGAAACGGCCAAAGTAAAAGCAAAACCAGCAATGACAAAATAGAGGACGAGTGAAATGAAGCTGTGGCTTACTGCTTGAAGAAAGGTTCAAGTTGCGGTGCCATTTTCGGATCACTGATATTTCCGTAAAATGAGCGGCGTAAAGATAGATAGCGTATTTGATGCTGAACGGAAGATATTCGTGGCGCCCGGATATCCTTGAAGTGCGCAGGTGATGATGACAGATATAATCTGCACTCCCTCCAGCTAAGCGATGTTGCAATGCGACGGAGGGGGAGGGGCATTTGTGCTGTGGAAGATAATGGAAGTAACCTGATTTGCTTGTTGGGTTGACACAGGTTTACCTAACAGTATCCTCGCTATCATTCGGTTGGTTGTCCGCCCTGCCCACCTCGGCTGGGTACTACAGGAAGGTTCCCGTTCCGGAGCGCAAATAAGCGCCCATAGCCATTAATGAGCATCTAACCTCGATAAGAACCAGGAGAATGTGGACGCTACTGAAAGGTGAAAAAAAAAAAAAAAAAAAAAAAAAAAAAAAAAAAAAAAAAAAAAAAA